GGGACTGACAGCTCGGGGGGGGGGCGGGGGGGGGAGAACAAAGAGGGCTGGCTTGGGCCTGGGAGTGGAAGTCTGCATGCCTTTACTGCTGGATCTGGGAGTCTTGTTGCTGCAGTTTGGGGTGCATACCTGTCTGGTAGATGCTGCCAAGTGACCTGTCTTGTTCGCAGAAGGCTGAGATCCTGGAGGGGGATTGTGGGGCTGCAGGGGAGCTGGGCAGGAGCCCCCTCCTGGGCCCACACCACTGGGACCTCTGCCCCAGGGTCTGGAGCCTCCACTGGGGAGGAAAAGAGAGGCCAAGGGGAGGGGCCATGAGCCAAAAGACTTCAAAGCAGAGAAGGAGCCTCAGTGTTTTCTGAGGGAGACACAGGGCTGAGGGAGACCTTGGGTTTCTGCCCCTTCCCTCCCAAGGGGGACACCTAAGAGAGGCTTTGGGGGGCTGAAGGACTGCCCCAAGAAAGGCGTTAGAAGAATCCACCCAATCTAAGGGCCTTGGCATCTGTGTGGTGGAGAAATCCCTCCTCATCCCCTGCTGTGGGTCTGGAGGTCAACCCTCCCAGAGGGTGGTCCCCACCTTACCTGCAGCTGCCCACAGCAGTTGCAGAAGCAGCCAGACCGGGAACCGAGCCTCCCGCATCTCCTCTGAGCCCTGGGCCACACAGCCCTCCAAAGGGAAGAGGTCAGAAAGTGGGGAAGGACTGATGTTCAAAAGAGGGGTTCTGCAAAGAGGGTGTTGGAGAAAGAATCTAGAAAAAGAGGAATGGAGGCCTGGAGAGAGATGGAGGAACCAACGACCAGGGGCTGGAATCTAGAGGAAAGCCCGGCAGATCGGGCAGCCGGAGGGTGCGGTCAGGGATGGGGTGGGGGTCCCGGGGGACGGGGCAGGGCGCTGGCAGAGAGCAGAGTGGAGGTAAGGTGGCTGTCTTGAGCTAGAGGCCCTTCTGCTGCTCCCAGGGCCCTGGCCCCTGTCCTTCTGTCTTCCCTCCACCTTTCGCACTTCCCCTCCCCGTTGCCCCCCCCCCAGCACCCCAGGGCTCACGGTTTCGCTTCGCAGTGGAAAGTCTGAGGGGGCTGATTCCCAGCAGCATTACCTCCACCCCTGTGGTGGCGCTCCCCTTGTTTATTTCCTCAGTCCTGGGTGTCCCCACCGCCCTCTCCACTCCTCCCCCACCCTCCTGACTGTTCTCTTTCCTGAGGAACTTCTGCCCGTCTCTTCTGCCTTGAACTACCCACTTGCCCATCTCTGAGCTGCCTCCCCAGGCCCCAGTCATACTTTCTTGGCAAGTTCTTTCCTTGGTACTCATCCCCTCCCTTATTCCCTTACCTTCCCAGAATTTCATTACCCTCGTCTACCTGTCTCCCCACCCATCCAATGACTCCTAGAAGCTCTCCTGTACCCTAAGAGATGGTAGGTCTGAAGAGGGGAACCCCACACACAGGGAGAAGAATCTCTACACTGTGTTGTGCCTTCATTATGTGCTGGGCATTGTAGTGGGCACTTTGTGTACAGTAACTCATGAAATCTACTATTATCCTCCATTGTACACATGAGGAAACTGAGGCAGGCTCAGAGATCGAAGGTCAGGTAGGGAGTGTGAAGACAAAAGCTGTATGTGTGTGTGTGTGTGTGTGTGTGTGTGTGTGTGTGTGTGTGACCCTGACCCCGGGTGAGTTACAGGTGTCTCCGCATCTTTGGGGATGAACGGTATCAATGAATTACACGCACCCCACTACAGCTCAGACCTCTGTGTAATCAGCAGGCTCTCCCAATCCAGAGGCTCTGAACTAAGAGAGGGCAAGGGTGATAGGGAAAAATGCAGACATCTGGCAGCAGGGATCCTGCCTCGGGAAAACCTGAGGCAGAACTAGGGAAGGAAGCCTGAGAAGGCCAGAGGGGAACTCCTCCCCACGCCACCCAGCCTGCGGAGCCAGAACTTGCAGCAGGCCTGGAACCGCAAGAGGTCCTGGAGTTCTCCCTGCTTGACCAGGAAGGAGCTCACTGCTCAGTGCCAGGCAACTCTCACTCCATCCAAAGAGCCTGAGACCCAGGTCTCCTGCCCTCTCCCACTTCAGGGGCGGGACTTCCTGTTTCTGAGGCTGTTTCTTTGCCTGGTTCAGCACAATAGGGCTGGTAGCTTTCCACTGGGCTCAGCAGTGTCTAGCCCGGTGTGGGTTAGCAAGGAAGGGTGTGTGTATGGCTGGGAGGAACATCCCCAAGAATCCAAAACCAGGACGCGAGTCAGCTCTCAAAGACACCGCCCCCCACCCCCCCACCCCGTCCACCCGGAGCGCTGCTGCTCTTGTCTTCTCCCGGGGTGGGTGGTAGGAGGGTGCCGCCGGCAGATTTTTTGTAGAGGGGAGGGGTCCTGACAGAATGTGCCATTGGCCACCCTCCTCCCTCTGCCCGGGAAAGCAGGAGACAGGTTAAAAACAGAAGCGCGACCGTTTCTTTATTAAATTATACAAAAAGGGGAGGGGAGGGGGGCAGCTGTGGGGCTCGGCCCCAACCCTGTTCCCACCCCGGCCTGGCGCTGTCTGAGAGAAGGGGATCTGAGGGAGACCTAGGGATCAGGCAGGGTAGGGATGGGCGGGATGTGAGGCTGGGATGCAGAGGTTAGGAAGGAGAGGCTTCCAGAGGAGGGTGGGGTTGGCTGCGGGGGTGGAGGAAGAGAGGAGGGAGAGGGCGGGGCCACTGGGGACCAGCTGGGGAGCTCAGATGGAGCAGGTCAGGAGGTGGAAGATGGCAGTGAGGATGGAGGGGGCAGTGTGTGGAGGGGCGGCTTGAGAAGGCTGGGGAGAGAGAGGGCGGCAGCTCTGGCGCGGGGCCCAGAGCAGGGAGCCAGGTGAAGAGCAGCTGTGCTCGGCTGCCCCTACCCTCACCTCCAGGCCCCCGAGGGGCCTCCCACCCCCAGCCCACTGGCGGCGGGGGGCTCATGCCGACGCCCCGTTCTCTGTCTTCTGCCGCTTGGGATCCGCTTCCTCCTGTGGAGAGGGAA